ACACTTCTACTTTCAGCTGTACCACCATCCTGCCCAAGTCAGATCCTTTGTTCACGTTATTCATTGATTCTCTAAACTGTCCTCATGGCAAAATAACTAGGTAATTAACATTAAATCCCATCTTCTTCCCCTCCCAGGATCACTCTTCCTTCCCACTGCAAAGCAGCCATCTGCGGCTGAGGAAAGCAGTGGAGCTGCGAGCAGCCATCCTGCCAGCCGGGCTCGCCAGCCAGGCTCAGTGCTGCGTCTACATGGACACCTTGGTAGCCTCTTAGCTGCCCTCTGAGAACCACACATCCCTGGGATTTGCTTCAGCAAAGATTCCGTGTTAAGACAACTCAGATGCAAGGAAGAACTAATTGGACTGATTCCTCTTAGAGGGTCTCAAACAACGCTGTTCCGTGAAAAGTGTCATCCCAGCAATACTTTGTAAGTTAGGCAGAAAGAGTTGTCATGTGAGAGTTATTAAGCAAATGGATTCTGTTTTCCTCCAGATGGGAAGAGACTTATTAGCTGGGTGAAGCCCATCTCTTTCCGGCTACACAAGCAATTTGTTTTCATGTTGTAAGGAGAGGGAGGAGGGTCTCATTAGTCAGCCGGGATCATATGCTCAGAATGGCAGCATACTGGAGACCGACCATTACCATTCTGTGTGGCGTGAGCTGCAATCAGGAAGGACTTCGTGGTTTTCATTCACTCAAATCTTTTAACTAACGGTGCTCAGGGCCACTAAGAAATCCAGTTGTTACAGCTGACATTTACATTTGGAAAAGAAACGTTTGTGTTGATTTCATTGATAGAGAACCATGTGGCCCTCCGGTCTGCCTGCCTCTGACCAAATGATTAGTGTTACAGTCATCGAGAGCAGCATCCTGACCCTAATAATAAATTGTTTAGCTACCATTACCTACACCCACATGGCCTTGACATCATTTATAATTCACAGACCTTGAATGTGGTGTCTGAGTGAGACTTCATTCGTCAGAAAAATCCACCCGATCCATTTATGTGAAAATCCAGAAAGAAAAGGCAACACCACGGCTCACTGCGCCATTTCCGTTCACGTTCCCTCGCGTGAGACCAGCTTCCTCTAGTGACAGATTTCAGGGTGTTTTCAAAGGATCCCAATGCCCCAAGGGAAAAGAAGAGGCAGTATCCATTCTGAAGATGACATAAACCATTGCTAATATCTGTGTCTTCATCATGTATTTCTTTATTTCAAACTCACGACACTGTCTCATGCTTAATAGGGTGTTTAACACAATGGTTCTCAAGCTTTCCTGCATATTAGAATCACCTAAGGAGTTTGAAAGCCTTCTGATGCCTGGGCTGCACCCCAGAGCAATGAAATGGGAACATCAGAGGTAGGCAGCCACACATCAGCGTATTTTTAAAAACTTCCAGGTGATTCCAATGTGTAGCCAAGGGTAGGGGCCAGTACTCCGAGTGTGAGACACACTACCAGGACCCAGGCAATCCCTTTAACTAGTCCCCTGGAAAATGCCGTCCCTTGCCTCCAGCTTGGTCACCTACTAATAGCTCCCAGAGGCAGCGGGGGTGGTGCTTGAGGGCGACAACACCACAGACCTTGGTGATGGCACACTGGGTCTTGTTCACAGAGAACATTTTTACGATAATACAAACTCTGATGCTAATTCTCAAATTGTAAAATTGTAAAAGTTTATCAATGTATCGTTAACTGTCGTTGCTTTTAATACACACTTTTTTTTTTGAGGTGGAGTTTCACTCTTGTTGCTGGAGTGCAATGGTGCGATCTCGACTCACTGCAACCTCTGCCTCCCGGGGTTCAAGCGATTCTCCTGCCTCAGCCTCCCGTGTAGCCAGGCCACCGCGCCTGGCTAATTTTTGTATTTTTGGTAGAGACGGGGTTTCGCCATGTTTGCCAGGCTGGTCTTGAACTCCTGACTTCAGGTGATTCACCTGCCTCAGCCTCCCAAAGTGCTGGGATTACAGGTGTGAGCCACTGCTCCCAGCCTTTAATATGCACTTTAACAAGCAGCTGACTGGGAGGGAAAAGTAAAGCGAGAGGAAGTTGAAAAATAAATTGTATGTATTAATGTAAATGCATGTGAAAGTATAAAATGCTGCTTCTTTCACAAAGGGAAATCTCACTGGAACTTAGTAATGACGCCGTTACGACCCACATAAAACCCAAAGATAATTCAAAGTTACAAAAATGTAAAAAGAAAGATCTGGAGACTCAACGCCCACCCACGGTGAATGTGGTCTATGAGTGTCAGCTCTGGATATCCCGATCCAACCAGATGCTGCAGGGGCCCGGAAAGCATCACAAATATGAGGAAAGTGTATCCATGCCGGGGCTTCCATTTGTTTTTATAAGGCCATAAAAATCATAAAGCCTAGCCGGGTGTGGTAGCGGGTGCCTGTAATTCCAGCTGCTGGGACTGGAGAATTGCTCGAACCCAGGAGGCAGAAGTTGCAGTGAGCTGGGATCACACCACTGCACTCCAGCCTGGAGAGCAAGACTCTGTCTAAAAAAAAAAAAAAAAAAAAAACCGGGGAAAGAAAACATAAAGTGCACTATTTCCATGCCTACTTTAGACAGTGGCCCTCAAGTGTGGCTACACATTAGAATCACCTAAGGAGTCTTAAGAAATCTTGATGCTTACACTGCACTACGGATTAAGGACACGAGAATCCCTGGGGTGGGACTGAGGCTGGCACTGGTCTTTTGTTACAGCTCCCCAGAGGACTGGGAATTCCAGTATTCAGCAAGGTTGAGGATAACTGCATTGGAAGAAAGCAGCAGCTAGCTACCTGCATCCTTAATTCCTATCTCTTCTTTTCCCAGGAGCCAACAGAAAAAAATGCACCAGGAGGGAAAGACAGGAAAGGAGGAACAATAGAGGAAGGGGGGCTCCACACACCTGCAGCAGGAAAGGCTCGGCTTGCACCACCCACCCCTGCCTGCTGCACACGAGGCTGGGAGCTACCTTGGACTTTGTGGTCGTGGTCATCCTGCAGGATTGTGATGGCAACTGTGTGGTTATTTTCCATCTCTAGGAGAGCAGCCTCATGGCTGGCGGTGAGATCTTCCACCTGGAGGAGAGTCGCAGTTACCGGTTAGACAGAGAGCTGCTTGGAGAACAGAAGTGGAATTCCGTGAGTGGAAAAGGTCCATGACCTGAAACATCAATGACAAGTCACAGCCTCGTGCCAAAGCAGGCGAGTTGGACTTTGGTGGTGATGTGGCAGCCCTCAGAGTCAAGAGGAGGTCACTGCCACAACCTGGCTCTTTGCAGGAGGATCCAACTCCAGGCAGGGGATCACTGCCTGAGGTACCTCTTTAGAGTCCTGACTGTGGCTCCTGGACCATCCCCTTCCCACTCCTAGTCCATCCCCTTGCACCGCTATGAGCGATGACGGCAAAGGAAAAGAAAAGGGTCCTCCCTACGGGGTGGTCTGTTTCCCAGAGGCAGGGGGAGCTACAGTACACAAGGTCAACGGAGGCGAACGAATACTTATTAGGCTGCCCGAGATACGTTACTCTACTTAACCCTCAGAGCCACCTTCTGAAGTAGATCTTATTATGCCCAATTGACAGATGTGGAAACTGAGGCTCAAAGAAATTTGAAATGTTTTGCCCAAGGGCTAATAAATGGCAGAGCTAGCAGTGAGACCCAGGTCTGTCTGACTTCAAAGGTGAAGCTCTTTCGAATGCACTATTGGTTTGTGTTGACCTCCCCCAAGCAAGACCAGCAACGGATACCTTAGGATTCTCTTGCCAGTACCAGGTGAGGCTGGGAGGTCTGCGTGTCTCTTTTTAAACACAAGGTTGCCCCCCAGATTATAACTTGGACCTTCTGCTCAGGCAACGTGGCTGCTGCTTCCCAGCTGCAGGAACGCTTCTAGCAGTTTAATCGCAGGTAGTGCAGCCAGTCCAGTCCAGGATTCTTCCTTTTCATGTTTCCTGACCCCCTCCCCTACCCCTCACCTTCCTGCCTACCAGGTTTACTGTTTTTGTTATTGTTATTGCGGCTGTTGTTTTAACTTCAAATACATGACTCGCAGGAGTAATGGCCTAAAACGACCTCTCCCTATCATTGCAAATCTCTCCTGGATACACTACAACCGTGTTTATCCAAGCTCTCTGTCAGTGATCCACTGCAAAAATCACCATTGTACACAATACCACAGCGCACACACCCACACACAACCACACCCAAAACCAAAGTTTCACAGACACAAAACTCCGCCTTCCATTTGGAAAAGTCTGGTTTAAAAATGCTTCCTCTGTTTTACTTCGTTTTACAAAAGGCGAGTTAGAAGCCGCGACATTTATTTCACAAGCTACTCATGTGTCAAAACTTGGCATTTGAAAACCACTGAACTAGAAAACGTGTGCTGGTCTTGAAGCCCCTTGGTGGCCCAGTTAAGAAGACATTGCTTCTAGCTGGTCATATTCAGCCGCGTCTGAGGCTCCCACATTTCTCTGGGGAGGATTCACGGGCTGACCTTTGATCTGAATGGAGAAAGGGTTCTCCCCAAGAAAAGAAGCCTGCCTGTGAAGTTGACACATGGGGATATATCTGATTTAAAAAGGGGTGGATTCCCATTCCGGATACTATTATTTCATCAAAAAATTATCCCGACTTCTCTTTCTTCTGGTAAACGAGAACTTCACCCACTAAAACAAGTATCACTGGGCAAAACCAACAGCGGACCCATGGCATTAGGAAAGCTGCGTCGCAGTGTGAGAACGGACACGGTGCACAATGACTCGCTCGCATTTAAAGGCCATTCTTGATCAAACGGTATTTACTTGAAGCTCAGAGCTATGAACCCACCAGCAGAAAGGCTGATTACAACAATATTTAATTGTCCAATTCCTGTTTACAGGAGGTTTTCATGGAATCATTGTCCAAAACCTTTCAATCTGTTGGAAAAAGAAATCACTAGCTTAAAAAGGAAATACCTCTTCTTTGTGCTCCATTACGGATTTCACCCAGGCCATAGCACACCGTAAAGACGCAGCACCCCCCCCGCACCCTCCTCCCCCACACACACTGTTTGGAGGGCTGCCACACAGTTCAGGAGAGCAAAGAACCTTTCGTCGGTCCTTGGCGTGATTCTAATTTATTGGGTGCTTACACAAATGATCATGAGTGGTTTCAGAACAGACAGACAGATGGAAGAACTAAGTTTCAGAAGAGTCCCACGAGTCCCAGGAGGTGGATGTGCCCTGACCAGCAACACTACACTGTGTTTGTGGCATCAACGTGTGCCATTCTTGTTTGCTGGAAGGTAAAAAGCCTTTGATTCAGTGGTGATGGAATACCATGCCCATTGTAGTAAGGGTAATGTAATGGCATCATATATTCCTTACCACCTTTCAGAGGTGCTTTTATGAATGAAATCACTGATCTCCTAACTCTAAAAGTTCATATGGAATTAGAGAAATGCCCAGTATGTTAGGAAGGAAACTAAAGGGAGCCCACGAGTCAAAAAATCTGAACACAAGAATCCCTGCTCTTTAGTAATTTAGGTTTCATGCAACTTTATGGTTTTTAAAAAATGCTCTCTCCAAGAGGAAGGCGCTGTCTACTGTTGGCCATCCTCTTTCTTGTCATAGTATTCATCCGTACAACGTCTTCTCCTGTGGTTCTTGGCTTCTTTCTACAGCACAGGTTCACATTTATGAAGCAGCCAGTAAGAACTGCAGCCTGAGAGGACCTTGAAACCAGAAGGAATTGGAGGAGATTTAAACAAGGTGACCCAAGGAAAGCACAAGATCTTTCTATGCATTGAAGATGACCAAATCAAAGACAAAAGTGCTCGACCATTATGGCCTATGGCAAACTTGGGCTGGCTGAAGCACCCTTCGCTTCCATTTAGAACCCTGGTGAGGCCCCTTAGACCACCACTGGGCCATCCTCCTCCCTCCATAGAGAGAGTTCTGGGCTGTGCCATGGAGGCGTCTGTCAACACAGACATCCGGTAGTCCTCGTTCTATGGAAAAGCAGCTGTTCCCTGTGACATGACTCCATTCCCGCAGCTGCCTGCTATTCAGCTGGGCTGACTGACAGCAGAGCACAGGGTTGGAAGGCCACCCTCTCAGACGGGTGAGAGTATAGCTGTGGTTTGACTTCATTTAGCCATTTACCAAATGCAACGATCTGGGGCTTTGGCAAGTCACTTGGAGAAGACTTAGATTTCAAATGAAGAAACGTGTGTTTTACATTGTCTCAGCTTCATTCATTAAACCCAAACCAGATTAAACTCCCATTTGTGCCTATCCACATGGGATGAGAGAGAGGGAGCCTGCCCAGGCCCACTCTCTCCCACGCTCTCTTCATGACTTTCTTTTTTAGATAACGAGGGGGCCCTCCTTCACTTGGTCATGGGTTGCAGTATCCTGGACACTGGCTCAGCCATGCCAGAGCTCCCAGTCTGCTGTCATCCCATGCTGGGCTGTGCCCCTGCCCCTCTGCAGCCCTCCACGCAGGCAGGTGTTGACAGAGGCCCCATCTCCACTGCACCGCCTCCTCCAGAGCATGGAACGTCTGGGCTGTGATGGCAGGCTCTGGTGCTGGGAGACGGAAGGCCCTCAGGGATCTCTTTCTATTTGATTAGACAGAATGTGGTTTCCGCTGCCCAGCAGCTGTGAGCCTGCTCTGCAGGAGGGCTAAGGAGGCATAATGCAGATGATGGACAAAGTGGCCTCTGTACGTTTGGATTAATCCTGGGATGCTTTTCCTTGAGTCATTTAGTTTAAAATGATTTCCTTACGAAAGCATAGAAAGTGCATCCTGGATAAGAGACAAAGCAACATTTAAACTCCAAAGGCTGAGCTCTGCCGCTGTCTATGGAGGGGGAATGTGTGCTGACCTTGATGGAGCAGAATCGTCATGCATCCAGACAGGCGGTCCCTGAAGCCAGTGGCTTTGGAGCAAGTCGTGGAGTAAGACAAACTTACGGTCTTGGAGGAATGGGTCAAAGGTCACACGCCAGATACTTGCATGCCAGGCTCTGTGGGGACAGTCAAAGGCAGCCCAGAAACCAAAGCTGGAAGCTGGGCTGAACATGTTTGGGGCAAAAAAGGAAAATGCGTGTGTGTTTACAATGAGTCTGTTTTGCGTGCTTTGATAAAGGGAAGCTGTGGCCATTTGGCATCTGTTGATGTGCAGCTTGCTACAGAAGGAGAGCTGGCTTTCACACACTAAACACCTTTATCCTTGCACTTTGAAAATAAGAGTTACATCTTGTCTTTAATCTCACTTAAGAAAGCCAAGAGGCAAGACCACCTCCACCCCTCCCTCAGGTCCTTAACTCGAGCCAGCAGGGTCCTGCAGCTCCCACGATGCTCGCGGTTCTGGGCCCGGGCTGTACACAGAAATCCCCTGGGACAGTCCAGAAACAACCTGCTGCCAGGTCTCATCAGTGATGCTGATTCAATTGGTGTGAGCGGAGGCTGAGGAGGGGTGTTGGTGTTTGCCAGTTCTCCAAGTACCCACCTGTGTAGCCAGGGCACACACCACGGGCAGAGAGCCAGCCCGTGTCCTGTGAGATGATGGGGGGGCCAAGCAAGAAGCAGCTCTGGCTGGCTTTGTCACGAAGGAGGTGCTGCTGCAAAGCCAGAGGTCAGCCTGCCTCAGCCGGCAAGTCCCAGTTTGAGTAAAGTGATATTTGCAGCCTCAGAAAATCCTGCGTGTCAGAACTGAAGCAGCACCTGCCCCTACTGCCAGCTGTTGGGGGCCACAACATCATGAGGAGATGCCAAGTCAGTGAACCTGATTTTTAAGGGTCCAGAAGGACAGAAATGTCGCTATCTGTGGGGTTTGCACTGCCCAGTGGGGTTAGCACTGCCCAGTGCAACCGTCCCTGAGAAGGAGGCCCCCAGAGGGGAGGGTCCACCAAGGACTCTGAAACCATGGATCATCCTCATCTCCATCTCAGTCACACCCTTGAGTCTCCTCTCCCACTGAACAGGAACACGGTTCTAGCTGGTAGTTAGACTATTGGCCTGGGGTGCATTTCATCTTCCTCACTTCCTGCATGTTCTCTGCTAGGGAAACTGAAGCCTGGGGAATCAGCCAAAACATTCTGCAGCAGGAGCAGAATCAGGGGCCTGAATAATTCATAGGCTTGACTTTCTGGTTCCCCCAAACCAATGGGTTTCTGTAGGAAAAATTCAGCCAAATGAAAAGCATTCAGATATGATTTCTGACACTTCCAGCTGTGAGGATAAGATGTGAAACTCTCAATTCCTCCACACGCTGTCTGCATTTCTCACCCACGTGACAGTTCCTTGGGCACTTATCTCGAAGCTTCCTCAATGGATAGATAAGCAAGCCCACCTTTTATAAATCTTAGTATCTCTCGCAGTATCCTGTCATGGTGCTTTGCGTACATACAATGCACATTCCATAAATATTCTTTGCACAGGTGAATCAGTAAATAAATAAACGGCTTTTGCTATCATAAAGGATCATGAACAGAGCACAGCGCTCTCATACAACAGGACATGTTTGAATTACACCCAGGTAGCTTATGTAAGTCATTTTCATGTGGAAACGTCAAGGGTTTCTCTCCTTTCATCACTCCAGCTTGAAATATCTAAAAGGCCGCCATGTCCTGGCTTTAAAAAGAGGTGAAGCACATCTCTAGGCACACACTTCTGCACAGGTGAGGCCTCAGCGAGGCGTCCTGGCCCCCGCGTGGACATGCCCCCCTCAGCAGTGCCTCAGCTCCAGGACACCACCACGTGAGCCTTTGTTCAGCGTCTCCTGCCTGCGGACCACCTCTTACCCCTCCTCCTCACCTTCTGGCATTTCCTCAACCAACTCAGACCTTCAGATCAGAGGCCTTTGGTAAACATGGGTATAAACGTGTTCTGTGTAAAACTGGGAATGAATGGCCCATAGACACAGAGGCACAGAACAAGGTGGTATTCATACCAGGCTTGAGATGTATAAAGCGGCCGTAAAATCAGTAAGACTGTAGACGGCAGCCCGTGCAAATGTCTCCTGACAGGAGTTACACGCAGCCAGACTGGGAGGCACGACGCCGGGGGTTCAGTTTCGCATCTTAACACCAACAGGTAACTTTAGCTGTAGCCTATTCTGTTTCCTAGTCTCTATGGTCTAACCCACCTCAAACAGGGAGGTGTGTCTGGTTTTTACAGGCCTCTAGGAAAGGAGAATGACTAACCTGAGATACTGTCTAGAATAAAACGCCATAAAGTAAGAGAGGTTTTTTATTACAATGACAGCAATTAGTATTACTCTTAAATTTCTCCCAGGTCCCCTAAGATGCACAAGCCTCTTCTGGGGCAGTGGGAGGGCCGGGTGGGTATTGCCGTCTGGGATGTCCATTTGGAAGCAGCTGAGGAGGGCAGCACAAGGGTTTCTGACAATGAAGAGGCCACTCGACACGAACCTGAATGCCAAGTGAGATTTAAAGGGTGCCCTTCACAAATGTCAACTTACCTTAAGCATATCATAAGCACACTATATAAAGCAACACACCAATTAGAAGGTGGGGGTGAAGGCACCGGAGCTGGAGAACTTAGAAATAAGAGAAAAGAAAGGAGCAGTGCTCATGGAAGCAGCGTGGGTACATTGAATCGTCCGCCCGCCTCTCATCAGTACTAATGGCAGTCACGGACAGGGTGGCTGCCGTGGGGGTGGCAGCACCCGCCTCCTTCCGGCTTTCATACCGACAAGCGCCCTGGGAATTATCCTCTGGTTAGTCCATGGATGCATTTTCCTCTCCAGTAAGGTTTCTGGGCAAAGGTTAACCATTGGCATTCATTCTTTCATTCAGCAAATGGATATTGTGGGTACTCCGCCAGGCATGGATCCAGGTGCCAGGATCCAGCAGGAGAGCTGGCAGACAATTCTAACTTAGTGGCTGACAGCAGGGGTGTGGAGCCAGACTGGCTCATCCCTGGCTTCTCCATGACCAGCTCTGTGAATTCTGGCAATTACTGAACCATGGGGGCTTCGCTTTCTCCCGTGTAGAATGGGAATAAGAATGGTACCTTCCTCATTAGGGGAACTGTGAGGACTAAATGAGTCAGTTCATGTAAAGAGCTTAGAGCAGTGTCCGGTGTAGGATGAGTGCTAGATACATGTTTGCTTGTTATTCTTTCTGCCCTCATGGAATAGAAAGATGATAAATAAGGTAGAAAAGCAAAAAATATGTGTTAGTGATAAGTGGTGAAGGAACACTAGTACTGGGAGGGGGACAGAAAGAGTGTGTATGTGGTGGGGGAAGGAATAATAATTTTGGATAAAGATCTCACTGAGAAAGGTGACCCTGGAGAAAAGTCTGGAAGGGAGGGCAAGAGGGAGCCATGCACTGTCTGGAGGGACAGCATTCCAGGCAGAGGGCACAGCAAGTGTGAAAACCCTGAGGAAGAATGAAGGAGGCCAGAGTGGCTGGAGGAGAAGAGAGGACGGGGGAGAAAGGAGAAAGCAACTCAGAAAGTGAACTGTTGGAAAAGCTCACCTACTGAATAGGACTTCTTGCTAATGGGGCACTGGATCCCCTCCGCCTGCCACTTGCATCACCCAACAGCAGAGCTCGAGCGGCACTGCAGACTGACCTGCTCCTGGTGCTGACACCGGATGCTCAGCAGCTGGTCACGGTGCTCCTCCTGCAGGCGCGCCATCTCTGCCTCGAATTGCAGCTGCAGCCGCTCCTCCAGCTCCTGGAGCTCGGCCTGCTGCTGCCAGCCCAGCCTCTTCACCTCGTCCTCGAACCGCCTCTCCAGCTCCTCCTTCTCCTTTTGTAGTTTCTCGCACTTTGCTGTATGGAAGGCTGGGTGCAAAGCACAAGATCTTTCTTTAAAAAATGGCTGTAGGAGGCATGGGAAGGCCTCGGCCTCCACGGTCAGATCATCAAGGCTGGTGTAATAAACAGGGCGAGGTCCTCTGACTTCTGCAGGGCTACACGGTTTGTAAAGTGCTTTCCTTTCTACCCATTAGATCCTCACGACAGACCCTGGATGTTGAGGAGAAGCCGCAGCCTCACGGAGGTCTGGAGACTTGCCCAAGGTCATCCAGTGGTTGCAGAAGGATCTGGGAAGGCAAATTTGGGCTTTCTGATTGCAAGGCCTCTAGGACAAGTTGTCACAAGGTCCGTGGTCCATAGACATAAAAAATATGGGGCATTTGGTAAAAATGTAGGCTCTGAAATATGCCCTGGGTGAATCAGAGCCCATAAGGCAGGAATTCAGGATCTCAACTTTTAGCAAACTCCCTGGGTGACTCTTATGTCCCTCAAGACTTGAGAGCTGCACACTATGGAAGCTGGACATAGGAATAGGGCCTGGCCCCTAAGGCTACTCTATTCTAGCTAAAATGCCAAACAGGATGATCTCAGAGAAGGTGTGGGGGCTTCCTTTCAGGTACCCTGAAGTTTTCTACTCAGTATCTCTTTTGCATAGGCACTCCACCCCTAATCACAGAGTTGTGGTTTGCTTCAAGCGTGCCAGCTGAGAACAGGGCATGAGGCAATGACATCAGCCACCACCGCTCCTGCCTGAGCTCCCCCTCCAAGCCTGCTCTGTCTTAGTGTCTGTGCCTCCCCTGTGCTGTGGGCAAGAGCCGAGTGCTTCCATTCTAAAGACCGCTCCCTGAACTGCACACCTGCTTCCAAGACCTTGACAATCTACCACGTCTAGGTCAAATGGAGCTGATTACACACACACCCAAATGCAAATGCCGAGGTACACAGACACATCATTTACGTTCTGCAAAGGTCTACCATGCTCGTCGCGCTGTGCTACGAACTGGGGAGACACTGGCATTTACGCTAAAATCGAATGAGCAGGTATAGGTGCTGATTAACCGTAATCCACACTCTAGTGGTGGTTACCGATGACGGGAATATACATCCAAGGTTGTTAGATGGCATTTGAAACACCCTAATTAGAAGTCCCATGCTATAGAGGCCACTAATAAAATAGGGCTTCTTTGCCACATTTGGCTCTGAAAAGTTTAATTAGCATAAGGGACGTTAACGTTTTTTTCTTCTGGTGAAATAAGTGGTGGATTGGCTAGATATTACACAGGCACCTTGCCCTTGTGTGAAGGGTGTGTCCTAACACCCTTCACACAGCCCAGCAGCCTAACACTGTCCCCAGTGGTCTTCCTAGCCTATCCGAGGGCTTCCGTTGGGCCAGTGTCCCACATCCCATCAAAATGGAGAACTCTGATCTCCCAGTGCAATCAGGGTGCACTGAGGGCAGGGTGGTGGGAGCTGTTCATTCCATGTGCAGGCAGTAAGGAGATGCACTGTAGGTAGAGAATTTACAAGTGAAAACCAAACTGACTTTAAAAGATCCCTGGCTTTTGATGAGCGCTTTGCACCAATAATTCGAAACAATATCGGTGAAAAGGACTCCTTCTCAAAAAAGGCTTTTGTTGCTCTAAGTTCTGAACAATTGCTACAGTGACTTACCTTTCAGGTTTTTGAACTCTTGGGGGCTTTTTATTTTTTAAATCACAACCACAGAGAAAACATAGAAGTACAGTACAAGGACATTACCGTATAACTGGAACCATTTGAGAGTAAGATGCTGACCTGTGGAACATGAACCCCACATCTCCCCATGTCCATTCCCTACAAATAAGGGCTTTCCCCAATCTAACCACAGCACCGTCATGAAAATCAGGAAAGAAACATTGCTACAATAGTGCCGCCCAGTGCTCAGACCGACTTCAGTTTCACGAGTTGTTACGACGACGTCCTTTCTAGCAAAGGAATCCAGCCCTGAATCCCAAGTTGCTCCAAAGGAGGCTCCTGTCTCCTTAGTCTCCTTCAGGCTGGCACAGTTCCTCAGTCTTTCCTTGACTTTTAGAACCCGGACACTTTTAAAGATAACTGGCCAGGAAACTTGTTGAATGTCTCTGAATTTAGTGCGTCTGATGTTTTCTTCTTATTCCATTAAGCTTACTCCTGGTTGGCAGGAATATGACAGAAGTGGCACTGAATTCTTCTCAATTGATAAATTTAAATAATATCGTGAAAATGGAAATTTCTTCCTTTTAAATTATTTATGTAGTGAGTCAGGAAAATGTTGTGTATTACTGATTTTTACATGGTGATGCTGAAAATAATTTTGTGGTATAGAAGACAGGGTGTCAAAAATGGTCCACTTTGGGTATCAAGTTAGGTGTGCCCCTGAATACATTGCCACATCTGATGCAAGTAGATCTTTTAGGTGAGGTATTTCTAAGGAACAAAGAGCTGGAAGGCACCAAGCTTCGGGGCACAGGAAGGAAGCTGACATTTTGCTTGCCTGCTGCTAATAATTATTAGTATGAAAGGCAGACTTGGTCAGAGACTTTGTGGTTCCTTGTACTGAGGTCGTGGCAGGGGACCCCCAGAGTCCTCCCCTTCCTCTGATCACTGGAGACTACAGTCCCCACATAAGGAACTTAATGAACAATGACTGATAGGCAACGTGGCTCAGGTGTGGTGGCAGGGGTGAGGACATGCCTGTTCCCAGGAGTTCTGAGACCCCAGTTTACTCGAGCTCCAGCTCTCCCTAAAGACCCTCCAACGAAAAAAAATGTAATCAGGATTCCGCCAGGCAGTTGAGCTAGTGAACAAAGCTCTTAGGAATCACAGAAGAGGTAAGAGGTGGATATATAAAGATAGGTTTATCCTGGGATGACTGGGTGTTAAGAAAATAGAACAAAGACCATAGAATGTCAAATAAAACACAGTGATTGACAGATTGACACAAAGTCAAATTAAGTCAAGTAGAGAAGCAAGAATTTTATCTACATGGGGAGAAAGCATGAAGTCACCCTACAGACAAAAACACAGTCCCCTGCTGCCCACGAGGACAGTTCAGGGAATGAGCTCCCAGTGCACGGGGCCCGTCTGCAAAGTGCTCTTGCCTCTAAAGTTCAGTGTGAAGTAGCTTCATAGTGGCCTTCGCCTCACGTATCATGTACCTGTGGATGGGATAACTAAAGCAGTGACATCGATGTATTTGCTTGTATTTAGGTTTACCAAGAAGCTCACTGAGAGGTAACACAAACAGCCAAGGAACATGAAAAGACGCTCAGTGTCCTTGCAAATGGAAGCAGGAAATCATTTTTCATCTACAAGGCTGATAAAGATGAAATGTTCTGATAATACAGGAAGAGTATGAGGAAACTGTCACTCGATGGACTGCAGGTGAAATATAATTGATACAGCTGCCTTGGAGGGCAAAGATATATTTCAAAATTTAAATGACAGGGACAGCAGCATTATGGGTGGGAGATAAAGATTCTGGGTTTCTTTCAGGGGTGATGAAAATGTTCTAAAACGGATTGTGGTGACAGCTTTCCACAACTCTGAATATACTGAAAACCACCAAATTGTATACCTTAAATGGGTGGGTTGTATGGTATGTGAATTATATCTCAATAAAATTTTTACCAAAAGAGAGGAAGAACATTTTTTAAAAAACTAACATGACATGGAGTATATCTCAGAGGATAAATTTAGATGTTTTTATAGAAGGAAAGTTCATATTCTGATTTTAAAACTCTATATAATAATGGTGAAGACAAATGCTGGCAAAATAAAACAATGAAAACCCTACCACAACACTGTTGAATATACACACACACACGTACATATATACATATATGGATATACAGTCATGCATTGCTTAATGATGGGTATACGTTCTGAGAAATGCTTTATGAGGAAATTTCATCACTGTGCAAACATCATGGAATGTAGTCGCACACACCTAGATAGCATAGCCTACGACCCACCTAGGCCATATGGTGTAGCCTATTGTTCCCAGGCTGTAAACGTGTACCACATGTTACTGTACTCAATACTGTAGGAGAGTTATAGCACAATGCTAAGTATTTGTGAATCTAAACATATCTACACATTAACAAGGTACAGTGAAACTATGGTATAAAAGATAAAAAATGGTACGACTGCACGGGGTACTTACCACAAATGAAGCCTGCAGGACTGGAAGCTGCTCTGGGTGAGTCAGTGAGTGGTGAGTGAAAGTGAGGGCCTGTGACATGACTGTACACTACTGTAGACTTTAGGAACACTGTACACTTAGGCTACACTAAATTTATTTAAAATAATTTTTTTCTGTCTTTAAGATAAGTTAACCTCAGCTTACTATAACCTTTTACTTTCCAAACTTCTTAATTTTTTCAAACTTTTTGACTCTTTTGTAATAACACTCAGCCTAAAATGCAAATACTCCGTAAAGCTGTTCAAACATGGTTTTTCTTTATATCATTATTCTAAAAGCTTTTTTCTAGTTTTAAATTTTTTATTTTTTATTTTACTTTTTAAGCTTTTTTGTTAAAAACTAAGACACAAATGCGTATATTAGTGTAAGCCTACGCAGTCTCACGACCATCAATATCTCCATCTTCCAACTCCACATCTTGTCCCAAGGGAAGGTCCTCAGGGGCAGTAACAGCCATGGAGCTGTCATCGCCTAGGAAAACAATACTTTCTCCCGCAGTGCCTCCTGAAGGACCTGCCTGAGGATGTTTTACCGTGAATTTTGTTCTATAATAAATAGAAGAAGTACCCTCTAAAATAATAATACAAATATAGCATAGTAAACACATAAACCAGTAACAAAGTCATTTATATTATCAAGTATTATACACTGAACATAATTCTATGTGCCAGACTCTTTTAGGATTGGCAGCACATTCAGTGTGTTTATACCAGCATCAACACACAGATGTGAGTAATGCATTGTGCTGTGAGGCTCTGACGTCACTAGGTGATAGACATTCTTCAGCCGCATTGTAATCTTATGG